CCCCAAAACCCCAAAACCCCAAGCGAAATAAATACCTTGATTTTATAAAGACAAATTCCTTGCTAAAATTATAATAATAAATAACTAAGTAGATATTTTTATCAGAATGTAGGCACAGAGTGAAATTTTGCAAGTTGAGTTTTCCAGAGTCAATAAAGCTATTATCCTAAAACCTATTTTAAATAAGATAAACTTTGTCAAGCTTATCTAGCTTTCAAGAAATGAAGAAAGGTAGAATGATAAGCTAGGTCTCATTGTCGGATTTTACAATTAAGTAAGATTATGTTATGTTCACATTTTAGGTTAATGTTTACAGTATTGAGAACAAATTTTCAGAGTAAACAAAGAAAATTGAAACCTAATTCAAGATCATATGTGGGATTTTAGTTGATGACATTGGAGAAGATTTAAAGACACTAGATATCGACTACTAAAGAGAGGAGTTGTACATTGCAGGGGATCTAGGGTTGATTCATTGTGTCTCTCTTATCAAGGGTACATTTCTCAGAGTATCAACATAAAATTTTTGTATTACAACTTTAGACACTTTATGGCCATTTTAAATGCATTAATTAGATTAAGCTTTTACAGAACAATCCAAAATTTCTTCTATCTTGCTCAGATGATTTTTCCTGCAGAATATGGGATGCTTAAAGAGGAATCTAAATGGCTTTGTTCCTTGATATAGAAGAGCACAACTCAGAAATTATTTGCATTGTAAATTTCAACTTTTAATATTTGACCAGGATTGGGCTCCTGACTTCTCTAGTTTTCTATCATTTGGTAATAATCAGCATTTAAGAGTGTGGGATTTAGATAAGAGAATCAAGTTACATTTTGATAAGGTTTTCTTAAATAAAACTATATTCCCATTCAATGAAACCGTATTGAAAGTGCACTTTCCTTCTCATGTCTATTTTCAAGTAAGATAATTTGAAAGTAAGTTGAATAGACAATTGAGTATTGTGACTTTGTCTAATATTTTGGTAAAGATCTAATCCTATGTAAATCGCCACAATTCGGAACAGTCTTAATCAAACTCATTAAGAAAGTAAAATAACTTCCACTTAAATGTACAAATTCAGGATGAATTCTTTCCTATTAAAACGATTACTTTTTATTAGGGAATTTTAGACTCTGTCTCAAATATAATTCTTCACCAGCACTATTTAATCCAAGGAGATGTAAATGGGGACATTTACGCTCATAATTTGAAGTGCATGCTAGATGATGAAAGAAAGACTTAAAAGATTGCTCAGGTTTTTAAAGAAGAAAAACTTCAAATCAACCACCTATCTTAAATCACATTTTAGGGGTAACAAATGCATTTATCATCTTAATATATCTTTAGTTAAACAGTCATTGCTGCAGCTAACAATTTATCAAATAAAGTCAGTGTTAACTTTGTAAATTTAGATTGAAATATTAAGAAAAATTTTATTAAAATATTTGTTTCAGAATTAATGTATATATCATCAATGGGGTTTTGGGGTTTTGGGG